ACGGGTTATTTTGGTTGCAAGGGGATGATCTCATCCCTTCGCTACCGTGGAGGGGTCGAGTTACGTTCGTCTCAACAATCACAAGACATTGGCTTCAGTATGAGGCATTTCCCCTGTGCCTTTATCCATCAAAGTAGTCGCAGACTTGTTGAATCGGGTGTGTTTCCTTTACCTCATCTAATCTCTCTTCTATGTGTGATGCACCCTTAAACGTGACATGACAGGAAATGTCTTTTGGAGTTCCTCAGACAAGGGTTACCAAGCAGATGGGTGGGGTGAGAATGAGAAGGGGGGGGGTTCCACCATAAGGCAGAAACTACACAATGTCAAATTTTGCTACTTGTCTCAGAAAAGTTACTCTTTTTGGATTTCCTGACAGTGCTGGGGTATATAGTCAAGGTGGGAAGATTAAACAATTTGATATTTCAAGCTAAACCGCAAACCTGAACCTTCATATCTACAAAACATACTCAGACACACCTTCCCCAACACCGATGACTGATTTATGAAATCACATTTCATAAGTTTTTAGCTTGTACAAGCAAATGGACTAACATTCCTTTCAATGATGAAATATTACATAGAAATAACGGGATCAGAATAGCTCACATCTCTAACACGGAACAAAGTAAGTTCCTTTGACATTTCTGTGATTGCTTTGCAGGAAAGAGCCCCAGACAGTCAGGTAGGGCAGAGCCAGGGTCTCTATCAAACCAGGCATGGCACCTTAAACCTTGTTCACATACTGAGATGGAAAAACCTTCTTAATGAAACTGCCATGGCAATCATTAATGACTTTCTTATATTCAGTATTTCACATTTCTGTATCTCGTAACATAAAGAAGTGTAAATTTGCGGAGGGGCCTCTGTTGCGCTTAGATATCTTCATTTTCACACCTTTCCCCATTTTGACATATAAAACAGTTGCTCTTTGGCCACAGTACTTTATGGAGGCAGTTTTTCGGTGTCAAGTGTGAAAGTGGCACTAGTGACACTCACTTCCTCCAAACCGATGACAGCACCTATTCGCCTCTCAATCTCTCCATTTTTTCACCATATTTCAACTCCCTATCCTCACCCTTTTAAGCACTGTAACATATTCCCCCTATTTCAAAGTCACTTCCTCATGATTCTATGAAGAAGATATGTGAAGGTCTGTCTGCTTTGTTTGACTTGCATTGATTCAGTACCTCACTATAGGTTGTTCTTAGTCTGAAATCATTATATTTGTCTATAATTCTGAAGTACGGGGCTGTTATGGCAGTGTTTCAAGAATTAACTGTTTGAAGACAACTGGTAGACCATTGTTATCAATCTTCACCTCATATCTTCCTTGCAAAAGACTTGAATGGAACTGATAGTTGCCAATTTGAATTACTCTAATCTAATCATCTCTAATGATCTAGCTAGATCCGATGATGATAAAGCATCAGATTTGGCAGCCTAATAGGTAGCACCCCTGTCTTTTGTTTCTTGACACAAGTCTAAGAAAGTTAATATCCTTTAGGAAACATCAAACTTTTAGAGGGAAGTCTCAGCTTCAAATACTCTAACACGTTATTTTTAATGAATTACAAGTGGAGGAGCAGATGGAGATAGACAACAATTGTGTCTGCTCTTCATCTAAACCTGTCAAAGCATGTTGATCGGCCATTTTGCAAACCAATTTGGGAAGGATCTCAGCAGGGCAGAACACTTCATAACTATATCTTTAAATCATGACAATTCTATGGTTAATAAAATTGTACATTCACATACATAGTCTAGTAGAGAGAATATGCTTTAAAAGACAGTACACACTTGTCAAACTGGTAGTAAATGTATGTGAATACCTCAGCTATTGAACTAATATCTATATTCAGTGCTTTCCCTTTTCTTGATATTATCTGGTCAGAGCCATAAGGGCATTACCTCATCTCATTAAAGCCCTTCTGTCTCTAACTGATAGACAAGACATATATATGGGAACAGACAGTGCGACCTATAAACTACAAACCAACAGCAAACCAATTATTTGAAAGTTATTTTCACCAAATGAAGCTATTAAATGGGAGATTTCCTCCCACCACCACCACAACTACTACTAAGCATTGATACTCAAGCTGTTACAAGACAGAAACATATACAAGCAGCACACAGATATATCATTAATACATTGAGAAAGAAAGATAGAGATATAAAGGTCAGGCATTAAATAAGGAAAACAGATACAGAGAGTTATTTGAGAGCTATAAATCTGTTTTACTGATATATATAGTGCAAAGTGAATACACCATGCAGATATATTGTAACATTTCTTTTCAATCATTAATAAATATTTCACTTATTATATAGAAAATATAGGAAAATAGGGAAAATATAGATGACAAAGTGGTAATCATAAAATATGGATCAATATCATCACAAAATATTGTGAATTCACACCAATTGAAGTGAATGCACGTACCAACAACCAGGGTCAAAGTACTTTTTAAAAACTAAAACAAAAGAAGAAGAAATAAACATGAGAACATGATAGTGAAGGCACAGAAATAGAGAGGAGGGAAGGAAGAGGAAGAGGAGGGAAGGAAGAGGAAGAGGAGGGAAGGAAGAGGAAGAGGAGGGAAGGAAGAGGAGGAGGAGGGAAGGAAGAGGAAGAGGAGAAGGAGGAGGAGGAGGAGGAGAAGGAGAAGGAGGAGGAAGAGGAGGAGAAGGAGAAGGAGGAGGAGGAGGAGGAGAAGGAGAAGGAGGAGGAAGAGGAGGAGGAAGAGGAGGAAGAGGAAGAGGAGAAGGAGGAGGAGGAGGAGGAGAAGGAGAAGGAGGAGGAAGAGGAAGAGGAGGGAAGGAAGAGGAAGAGGAGGAGGAGGAGGAGAAGGAGAAGGAGAAGGAGGAGGAAGAGGAAGAGGAGGAAAGGAAGAGGAAGAGGAGAAGGAGGAGAAGGAGGAGAAGGAGGAGAAGGAGGAGGAAGAGGAGGGATAGGAGGAGGAGGGAGAGGGAGAGGAGGAGGAGGAGGAGGAAGGGGAGAGGAGGAGGGGGAGAGAGAAAAGACAATTAGATAGTTTGAAGAATGATGAATGAAGGAGAGGATGAATGAAGGAGAGGAAGAATAGTGAGAATACAAATAAGATATGAAATATTTCTAATACTGGAGAAAGACAGATGTCACCATTTCTATATTTCTTTTTGAAATGAACAAACTCATATTGCCTCCAGACATATGCCTGTCAGCGGCAGCATGCCTATTTAATTATTCTTGGATTCCTCAAGTGGAGCCCGTCTATTCTTAACTACCACAAACTATTTTTAATGGAATGATTAAGACACCCACACGACCCGCTGGCCGACAAAAGACAAATGTGTATCACTGAGGTATGAAAAGCAATTAATACCCTCATAAAGACAGGGTGGAGTTTAGTAGAGACGCAAACTGGAATGACAGGATGTCTCAGATAAAAATATAAAAACCTTAGAGATTGTGACGACAATGCTTTGAATCTACGTCCTTTGCAAACACCTTCCCCATTGTCTCTAAGTGATTAACCTAATTGCAGGCCTTGTTTTTTCATTGTAATGTATTTTAAAAATATCAAATGATACCATCTGATCATACCAACATTAATCCCATCAGATATTCATCCCCTGATAGCTAAAAGCTTCTACCATCACTGGCAACTCCATCCCAACTACTACCCCACTATTACAACCCCTTCTTCTGTTGCATCCTTTCAACTACAGTAAAAAAAAATATATAAGAAATATTTATTTCTTCACATTTTATGCTCCTCTTATTTTTGTTCAAAATTGAACAGTAGTTGGTTACAAATCAGAATAGATTCAAGCAGTATAATTTTGATAATCTAATTCCTCTCAACAAACTCTATCACTTTAAAATTTCAATAGATCTGTTTCATGTGACTTGAAAGGGATGTAAATTGCTAATATTCTTGTCAGGCATAATTTGATCAACCAGCTTCTTAAAGCATTCAATATTTAGATAAAATATAGATAAAAAGATTGATCTATTGCTTTTTTCAATTTCATAAATTGATTTGTCAGAGGTTTTGAGCATGTACGACAGCTTGAGCTGTATTGATGGTGAAATATGGAAATGAGTAATTAGATTTAGCGGAGACTCGTCTTAATCTCTGGAAGTCTCTTGATTGACCAGGTGGTCATCAAATTCAACAGATGTCCCAAGCTAAAATGCAAAATGAAGCCCACTTTCCCCTTGTTTCTATCCCACTAGTCCCCCCCCCCCCCCCCTCCCCCTGTAATTTAACTTTTGCATCAGCCTCCCCAGCCTCCCCATCCCCCCTCTTATTGCGCTACCACTGTCTTTCCATGTTTACCTTCGTAGGATTGACACCCCTAAACTGTTCTTTCCTCTCCATCCCCCTCCTAAATTTTACTCCTTCCTACTGATACTACCCCCCCCCCCCTCATTTTACTTTCCTACAACTATCTCAGCCAGTGTTATTTTCCTATCACTGTCTGTACCCCTATTCCCCAAATTTGCTTTCCAACACCTGCTTCTCATTTTACTTTTCTACCACTGCTCCCTTCGCCAAATTTTGTATACCCTAATATTTTCCCTCCCCCCCCCCCCATTTTTGCTTTCGTACTACTGCCTCCTCAATTATACTTTCCTATAACTGCCCCCCCCCCCCTATTTCCCCCCATTTTCCTACCACTGTAACAAGAGCTCTCTCCCCACTTTATATATCTCTGTATAAAAGAATTTGTTGCTAATCTGCAATGATGTATAGGTTATCTAATTTCCTGGCCAATCTTTCAAACTACATTTACATTACTCTTTTCAACTTTTCTCACCATGAATTAAATATCAAATAATGATTCTAATAATTCTTTGATGTAATGGGTTCGAGGACTGAATAAAGTTCAAATATTGTAATCATTTGTATTCTGTCTTCCATCAAAAAGTACATTCACCCTGGTTGCTATGGTAACATGACACTCGTCTGTCACTTGTAGGATATGACTGCAAGCTCTCCAAACCCTACCTGTTTTCATTTGCCGAAGCTCCCTGATCTCTCCCCTCAGCTTTCGTCTCTCTTCGTGCGTCTCCGTACTCTCCAGCTGAGGAAGGGAGAATTAATAAGTTAGAATGCGCAAAGGAGTCCATTTGAAGAGAAATACTTCTGTCAGGGCACTTGACTTTGCAATGAGGCATTTGAGCTTAATTCAACCAAATTTAACTCATTTCCTTGGTCACAGTGTTGGCTTCCTAACTAAATAATCAGGTAATTCATCAAACTTCAAACTTGTTACATCCATGAGATCTGAATCTACTTCATTTGGACGTATATAGGAGAGGACGTTTATAAATAGAATTAAATGAATTCTTCAGTCTACACCTGATTTATTTAAAGGAGTCTTTAAAATGTGATTTTCATACAAGACATCATTGGAAAACATTGCCTACAAATTATTCTTTTATTTCAACCAGAAAACTTCTAATCACTGTACAATTTAAACAATAGGTTAGGGTTTATAATAGTATGCCATCTTTTGCCTAGGAAGTTATATTTACAAAGAAAAGAAACTGAAGTCATAATTTTAAATAGAGTTAAACCTTTAGGGTGGTATTCTCGAAAGCTAACTTTAGTCCATGGTTTAATCAACCAACTAAGTATGGAATGCCAAGTGTCCATATAAATATATTTTTGAATAATTTGATATGTTCCTCAATTACCATGATAACATAATTATATCATAGTTATATTGTTGTTTATTAATTATGTTATTACATTTGATTCTAATTTTGTGACAGATTAAATTATTCAAAAACATATTCATATGGACACTTGGTATTCCCTACTTAGTGGTGGATTAAACCATGGACTAAAGTTAGTTAGCTTTCGAGAATACCACCCTTAGACATTTTCCCTAACAAATCATACTGTTTTGCCACCTGCAAGGCTATATTGAGCAGTAGGGGAGCAAAAAGAGGAAAATATTAATTTTCACTCAGGACTGACCTGCTTCTGTAAGGCCTCGATCTCCTGCTCTATATCTCTCCTACTGGTGGTCTGATTCTCCTGGGAGACCTCCTGACCTTCTGAACTTGACCTTTGACCTTCAGCTGACCTTGATAAGGCCAGGTTAGTTTGGTTCTCCTGTAGGACACTGACAGCTGGCTCTGCTGGGGGTTGTGCTGGGGGTTGTGCCTCGCTCTGATTGGTCGGTTTGGTGGCCGTGTCAGAATCATCTGTCGTTCGTAGTTGAAAGGAGAGGGATATAGAATATTTATGATTGGACACATTTCGGTTGAAGAATGAGCACAAAGTAGACAGATTTAGACTGAATAAAAGTGGATTGCTTGTCAAATCATTGGCTTAAAAGCATTAAGTATTCTATAGCTCCTATAAAACAAGATTAAAATCTTAATCTTTACGAAATTTCACTAACAGAAGATCCTGAGACAGAGACTTACTTTCCTTCTAAATAAATTCATTAATTCCTAATTACCTTTCTTGGCTCCTTTGAAATTAAGAAAATCAATTTACCATGCATGCATTACAATTCTATATTCTATCACTTCAAATATCATCATAAAATGCAATTGTGATACAGATCTGATTTTTTAAATGTTAAATATCTGACAGAACACTTTTTTTGGACAATTTCTTAAAACAATTAATGGAAATATTTTCAAAGGCTTTGTATGATGGGCTTGTGACACTCCCCATCTCTTAGAGGAAGTCCATATCGTTTCAACTAAGCGACAAACGACTGCCCTCTCCCGTTAAGCGACTTCCCTTTAGGCTTCCTGATGTATGAATCATACTACAGTTCAGATTGAGAAGAATACTTCTAAAGTTTGTGATTAACATGCATAAATATTGATCTACGGTTTATACAGCCTGGGTGTGGGGCAAAGGAAAATTCATTCCCCCCCCCCCCCCCCAATGCTCAAAGAAAACGTGTAGGCTCAACTCTGCAATGCTGTGAAGGACTCAGTCTCACAACTAAAGAAGTCTATACAAATCATGCTACTGACAGCTCAAAAGACGGAAGGCTTTTTGAAAGTTTAACTAGGTCAACTAGATTGACGCTTGGGCCCATTTACACAGCCAAAACCCCATTTTGAAAATTCATCGATTTTGGGGACTGCATTTACACTAAGGCATAAAGTAAAAACTTATTGTATTGCCCTTTGGGTGGCAAAACATGGGTCGGTTGGTCGGAAAAATGTTGTTGTTTTTTTTTTTTTTTTTTTTTTGTTGCCCGCTTTGGGCCATTATTTTCAGATTTGAATGTTTTTTTCCTCTTTTTTGTGCTTCAGCGTCATCATTCCATTATTATCTTTTTCACCTCATAATTATCCATGGCTTGCACGAGTGAGAATTTTGGAATAATTTGATTTAATGCATTTATATCCCATTTAAACAAACAAAATACATTTATTTTCATTCATTAATTTAAAAAAATAATTAAAAAACGGTTAAAAATTTTTTTTTTTTTTTAATGCCGACTTAAGATTTTCAGATTTTTGGGTCGGTCGCAAAGGGCAATACAACAAGTTTTATTTTAGGCCTAATAGAAAAACCCATAAAAAATATCAGTGTTTGTACATTCCCATTTATGGGTGAGTATAGTGCACATATGCAACTCTTCACTGCTCTGCATGCCATCGCACAGAAGGGAGCAGAGTCATGTGACCACAATCCTGAATCAGTCACCAATGTTTTGAGAGCCGACATTTACACTGCAGACAAAAATCAGTGAATTATCTGCCAGCGTTTTTATTTTAAAAATTCCAGAGATGGATTTTTTTTACTTTGCTCTTTCATCGTGTTTGTCGGTAGTTGCTAAGCAACTTCTGATGAAACAGAATGGGAGAAAAATCAAAGACTTTTGCTTGAGTTATAAATGCAGCATCTGTAGGGTCTCATGGGCCATCAATCTGATAGGCAGTTAAAATCATATGCTATTGGTCTACTGGGAGGTTTGGACATGACAAAGCTATTGAGAATTGATAGTATCTACAACTTTGTCACTTTGTAAAACTTTCAAAAATTGTCTTGGCTCACAACCCAATTATTTCTTTTCCCCCTTCAATATGAACAAAATTTTGCATGCAACTAGATTTATACACAGAATGATCTTTAAAAGAAGTTTTACATACAAAAATATAGAAATATATATCAATTCCATTAGAGGAAACCTTTAATAATATTATTTACAAAATAAAAAACTTGGCTTGCTTTGAAGGTCAGACACTAATAAGAAACAAATTTCAGTATGTAATATTTGTAGTATACAAAATCAGAACATCTATCTAATACATATAGCCAACATCCTTTTACTAAATGTAATCTAACATTTTCTGACAGAGGTGTGGTAGTATTTGGCAAGATTTCTTCTTCATCCCTTCTTGAAATATAATTTTGTCCTGGATATAAAATATCTGACCCCAGATGTTCAAGAGCACATTAGTTTAATGGTTTAGGAATCCTTTAATCCAAGCTAGTATTTATCTCCCCAAAAAGTTCAAAAGGAAATGGTTTTCTAATCTTCCGTTAAAGAAGTCTACACAGAGGACCTGTATGAAATTTAGATCAAATACGAAAAGAGTAAGACATATACAGTATGTGGTGTTCTGATGCAAAATCCTGCTTCATTTTAATAATTAAACAAAAAATACTTTGGTTTCTCTTTTGCACTATCCATCACAAGTAGCATGTTTAAAGAGTAGATCAGTATAGTTCATGAAAATATAAACCATAGTATACTTTCCAAACATTGCCACTGCTGATATTATTGTTGTTGATAATAGTTCCCCATTCTCTAAATAAAACAAAAAATGGAGAAAAAAGCTAAAAATTCATGTTTCATTCAATCATAGGGCTAAGTTCTCCATGAATTTGCTGACTACAACTTGAAAATACCTCCAAGAAAACTAAAGAACATTTTTACAAGAATGTGGAGAAAAAAAATTATATACAAAATTACAATTACAAAAGTTCTTTGGTAAAAGTTGGGAGCTCTGGATATCTGTGGGAATACTGTAAAATCTTTCTTAATTGTTGAATTTGGCTGGTCTTTCAAAAAAGAAAACTTTCTCTTTTACATGATTGGTATGACCCCCTCTCTCTCTCTCTCTGATAAACTCTTGTGGGAAGAAAAAAAACAAGGGCAGAGAAACGACCTGCCAATGTACTTTATTCCACAAAAATCTTGATATAAAACATTGCTGGTACAAATCTCCACAGCGAACACAAACAAATTCATATAAAATATTCCCATGCCTTCCCTCTAGCACTACGAGGTCCTATACAAACAGGGTATGTTTCCTGAGCGTGGTAGGGAGGCGGAATACTATGAAAAGTTCAATTGCTTCAGACCCACGCATCATAAAAGCCCACTGACTGATAAAGAAAATAAATCTCCAGGGCTTTATGAGCCCAATTATGATCTGGGAAGACAGAAACAACCTCATCATTTTGAGCCAATTTCACAACTGGAATCATAAATTCCACTTGCATTTATTTAAAAAAAAATATCTTTGTGGTTCATTTTCAAAACTGAATTTGATAAATGATTTTTGACAAAAAATTGGGATACTTGCAGTCTTGCACTGCAAATATAATGTCTCTTATTCAGACATTAAAGGTAATACAAAGTTTTGCTATGGGGTCATGAATTTGGTTCAAATTAACATATTGGAAGCATATGCGACCCTACAATATTCAGTGATCATTGTCGCGGTTGAAATCCAGTCTAAAGTTATGAAATTGTAAATAATAAACTCTTTATGTGTATAGCTCCCTCTCAGGGTCAAGACATTAATTAAGCTATAAAACAATGTTTCTTGACTAAAATCGACCGATTAGCTATTCCCGTTTGGAAATTATATATCACAACTACATATTCTGAGGTTTTCATGGTCGCAGCTACCATCGTACGGCCGTAGACGCTAATTGAAATGTATATCAAAATTTACCGGGAGCACCGGTAAATTTTTATATTCAATTTTTCTCGAAAGCAGAAGTGTTTTAGGGGCTAAATTTTCTAGTGCTTATAATACATCCACAAGGGCATCCAAATATATCAAAATTGTAAAGAATCACTATCCACCCAATTTCAAAATTTCCCAAAACTTTGTATTACCTTTAAGCATGACAACTATTAATCCACAAGTATCAAATCTACTTTATGAAATTTTTCAAAAATCTAAACAAACATAGTGTTGGTAAAACCATGCACACTGATTGCTTTTGATGATCAACACACCTTATACAGTTCTTGTGTCATGAATGTTATTTTTGCACAAACTTTTTTGTCCACCTATGCAATCTATTTCCCCACATTTCTCTTTGCTCTTTCCACATCTGGATTTTCTTTCTGATAAATTGCCTATTTTTCAAAGCAGTTTATTCTTTGCAATATGTACTTTATAACACCTTGCAGTTTGATTTTTGTAAAGAATATATACCTATGCTAAGTCCCAGTTTTAACATTTCCCATACATACATTTCTACGCCTGAAAACTTGTAATTTATGTTAAATTAACTTTAAAATTTTCTGCAATAAAATATTTTTGGCACCTGACAAATATTTCTTTTATAGCACTTTTAACACCTTACAAACATTTCATTTTTATAGCACTTGTAATGGCTGTTTGCTCAGTCACAGCATTACATATTCTCCAAATAAATAATTTATCCTTTATGAGTTCCCAAGTTACCAGCTTGGTTGGTTCATGGGAAATGCTTGTGATTGATCAACTCTTTATGAAATTCCTACTTTTTATTACTTCCTTATATCTAAACATAAATCTTTGCATGATACATGTAACAAGTCTTTGTTTGGTCGTAAAAATTGATTGAATTTCAGAAGAGGTAAATTGTTCAAAAGTAATGGAAATTCATTGTTGCATGTAGTATTCATTTTCACACTTCAGTGTTACATCCTTTATGCATTGTAAGCAAACTGATGCAAAATATTTGCAAGGCTAAATTGTAGCAAAAGAAAGAGTTTTAATTTAAGAACCAACTTCAACCAAATAAATTGGTCATCCCCAGTATATCTATCTCCTATAATATAATGAAAAGTCCAATCAACTCTACCAAGGCTCACCACTAACAGGGGTTTAGAGGGAATACATCTCCTAATTTAAATTTGAATTCTTAATTGCACTCCGCCTCCCCCACCCCCCCCCCCCCCCCCCGACAAACTTTAAACAGGGGCACCATAAATTCATAC